GATGAGTAAATGAGAAATTTGTATTTAGATAATCGTTCTGAGAAGGTTTACGAATATATATTTGTATATGAAAGCCTGTGATGTCAAATAAAATTGATCATTTATTCGGTTATTTTGTACATAATTAAGAAATTCAATAACTTATTAATATTAAAAGGCATATTTTGAATATTAGAACTGCTTCTATTTCAAAAATCCTTTAATCATTTATTTCTGAAAAAAAAAAGAATGAAAAATTCATTTAATATAATAAATTAATTACTAAAATATTAATAAATATTATACAGTAATATTAAAGATAATCTAATATATCAAGTTCTTCATGATTATCTGTATTTTTTGATTGTTTTGTATCATTTTTGTCATCAATTTCAGCAGTATATAGATCATAATTTTTCCAATTAACATCAATGCTGTTAAGCTCATCCATAACTCCTTGAATATTCGGTCTATCATCTGGTTTATATTCCCAACATTCTATTTAAATATATTAGTAACTACATTATAATAAAGTTTAACGAATAACTGATATTATAAATTTATTTACTTACTTTGATAAAGTTCAACAAATTTAGTATTTGTGTTTGGAATAGGTATCTCTCTCTTTCCATTTAAAATAGCATCCTTTAGACCAATATTATTTGTATAGGATTCAAAAGGTACTGAACGACTTGTTAATTCCCAAAACAACACTCCTAAATTATAAATATCAGATTTTTTAGTTAATGAATATGAATGATCTGAAGAATCAAAATTTATCGGATCCACATAAGGAATCATGCCATTCAAATGTTTTGTGTAACAAACTGATTGTTTTAATTGACGTGAAATTCCAAAATCTGCTAATTTAATTGTACTAATATATTTTTAGAATGCTAAAAACAAAAATTTTTACATAGGTTAATTAATCAATCAATTATAAAATTAATAAAATGAATAAACTTACAAGGTCCAAATGTATAATTCCAATGTCATGTAAACATAAAATTGCACTTGATATTTCTTTAGAAAATTTTAATTGATTTTCCCATTTAAATGTATCATAATTATTCTTTAAATATTCTCTTAATGTTCCATTATCTGCATACTCAAGAACAAGTAAATAATTTGCTTTCTTAGTGATTTCATCTATTAAAAAAAAAAAATTAAAATAAATAAGTTTAGATAATATTTAATAAGAATTATTGCGTAACATTTTACCTTTTGATTCTGTAACTCCACAAAATTTAATTATATTTGGATGATAAACTTTCTTCATTAAAGTTATCTAAATAAAGTATATTCATCAATATAAATTAGATTTCAATGATAAAAACCTGGTATTAACTAACCTCTTTAATAATATCGCATATAGGTATATTAATACGAAATCTTTTAATTGCAAATTTTGATGCAGTATTTTTCCAACTTGCGACATAAACAGTAGAAAATGCACCAAATCCAATCTCAGAAATATTATTATAATCTTTAAAATTGTAATATATAATTTCTCCTTTTTCAATTGATTTTTCAAACCATTTAGATGGTTCTTCAACTTCTCTAAAATGACTAAATTGTGTTTTTCTTTCTATTACATTTTTGATCCCAATTTGTAAACCATTCTTCATGTTCTTCACTAATGTTTTTTTTAATGCTAGAAATGACATTTCGTATATTTGGGTGCTCATTAGAAAGTCTATGATGTTTCGGCGCCTCGTCTACTGAGAAATCTGTATCCTTTGCAGGAAATTCCCTAAGTTTACTATCTTTCATATAAAGGTCTTGTAATATAGTAAAGATTTTAGAAAATTGAAGCCTAAAACTTGGATCATGATGAACAGCTAAGATTGATTATAACAGTAAATTTACAGAAGTTGTGATTTTTTCTAAAAAAAAAAAATATAAAAGTATAGTTGATACCTTTTTTACAAGTTCTTGATATTCTTTTGGCATGGGAGAGTCAAGAGAAAATGGTTCACGATAATTTTCGTTGCAAACAAGCTCAATAATAACGAGGATATCATTATAATTCTCATAAGGAGTTTTTTCTTCGGCAATTTCCCAAAGTAGTATGCCAAAACTATAAACTTCACTCTTGATATCATATTTTGACTTGCTTTTTAATTTTTCAGGGGAGGTATACCGTATAATTTCTAGTGTTGCGGCTTGATTTGTTGTTCTATCAGTAATTGCTCGACTTGATTTAAAATTTGCTATTTTGGCCGTATCTCGATCAATAATTAGGATATTCTCAGCTCTAATATCATGATGAACGATCTATCAAGGCGAGTTATTCCCCCCAATAATAACAAATGATTTTTTTTTAGAAATTAAGAATTACTTTTACACGGAATTAAAATAATAATAAGAATGATAATTACCGAAACAGAGCTTAGGAAATTCAATCCTTTAGAAATGTCTAGAGCAAATTTTAATTTTAACCTAACATCAAGAGTACCATACTGTTTATAATATTCACGTAAATTTCCATACTCAGCCCATTCAGTAACCAAGTAAAATTTATCATCATATGTAGTTAAACCAAAAAATTTAATAATACAATGACATGATTCCAATTTTTTTAATATCGTAACTTGCTTTCTAAATTTATCCTTTTCTGCCATACTGCTATTTTTATCAGCAACTAACTTTAATGCAACAAAATTATTCAATTCATCTTTCCTCTTGTATTTTTTAACCTTTGTCAGTCTTCGATTACCTTGAAGTTCTTCTTCTTCAAAATCATTAAAGTTAAGTATTTCACTTCTAAATGCATCATTATTTGTCGGTATATCTAATTTAGATTCCGTCAAGATTTTATTAAATTCATACAATTCCTTGATTTTAGCTGAGATGTTATTATTCCCGTCAGTTACACCACTGCCGATGTTTTCAAGATACTATATGAAATGAGAAATTGTGAAATAAGACTATGTACATATTACACATTTATAAAATCAATTGAAGCGTATAAAACATTACCTGAAAAAACTCTTTAATATCAGATTTAATAATTTCATTATCCTTAGCTACTTTATCAGCATTTATACTAAAATCAACTGCCAGAGAAAAGTGCAATGCTTGTATATTTAAATTAAATTCATTGCTTAATTCTTTAACACTATTTTCAATATATTTAGCTTGAATATACTTAGTTAAACCTGTTAACTGGGAAATATCCTCAACAAAATTATGAATTTTACCGATAACATAAACAAATCTTTGTAAATTAATAAGATTCATTTCTGAAAAAAATTCTATATTTTCATCTCTACGATTTTTTAAATTCCTTACAGCTGTATCAGCTATTTGAATTTTATCCAAAAATATCCCACATATTTTTTTATTATGTTCTGCTGTTTTATATATTTTTACTACCTCATTAAACATTCGGGTTACTTCCTTTATAAGAGGTAAAAAGTTAGAAAATGTTAATATAGTTTCTATTGTGCTGTTCGCTAACATCGTTTCATTAAGCTTTGGTTTTATAAATTTCCTATCATCAAATTCATCATAATCTAAAAAGTCTTCATTTGAGTCTTCATTATCGGTATCTATCTCAATTGGCATTTTATAATTCGTTTCGTAATTATTTAATTTTTCATTCAGTATTTCGATTTCCTTATTATTATTGATTATTTTTGAAACAACTTGCTTTACATCAGTTTTAATATCACTAATGCAATGGCTCTGTATAATGATATTCAATAAAGATCAAATTTCAGTAAATATTTCTTTAAAATACATAAATATAAAATTAAATAACTTACTACTTAACGTTAAATCAGAAAATAAATTAGTATTAATTAATTAAATTATTAAAATGATATTAAATTTAAATATCTAATATATTAATCAGCATTACCTTCATTTGAGATGTTACTTATTTTTATTTCATGAGAATTTGTATTCTTATAAATTGAATTATCTTCAACATCTATTCCAAAACCAATTCTTCTAAATTCTTCTAACACTGTTTTAGTAGTTGGTCGATTCTCGGGTACATGGTCCCAACAATTTTTATAAAGTATCTCATAACTATCAGGGGTTTTTTCTATAGGTGTTTCACGATATCCATTTATAATTTTAATGTAAAGCTCTTGTTCGTTTTTATTAATGAAATTTTCAAATGGAGAAACTCCACTAGAAATTTCCCACATTAATACACCATAACTGTAAATATCTGAAGCCGTAGTATAACCAAAATTTAAGTCTCTAAGTATTTTTGGATCAATATATGGAATTTTACCAAAAGTTCCGATATGAATAGATGAATTTTGTGCATTCATATCTTTTGAAATACCAAAATCTGTGATTTTGGCATCACCATCATGAATAACAATATTCTTAGAATGCTAAATAAAATAGATAATTTAAATAATATTTAAGAATTAAATAAATAAAAAAAAACTAATACTTACAAGATCTCTATGCAAAATATTTTCGTTATGTAAGTAATTTAATCCTTCAGCAATTTGAAATGCCAATTTTTTCTTATTATCCCAAGTTAAATTTTTAAAATTCTTTTCAAGATAATTTTGAAGATTACCACCATTAGCATATTGCATTACAAGAAGATAATCATCACGATCTATCAGGATGAATTTTATTATATAAGAAAATATTTCAACTTTGAAAAATAAAAAATTAATTTAAAATTTACCTTTACTAATACCCAAAAAATTTATAATTCGATTGCTAGAATTGAGATGCATATGAATTTGTAATTCATTAATAAAAGCATCCAATATACTGTTTTTATCGGATGTTGTATTAGTTAATTTTTTACAAACAATATAATTTTCTGTTTTAGACCAAGTAGCTATTGTAACACATCCAAAACCTCCGTTGTCAAGTGGTTTAAGATTTTTTAATTGGTCAAAAGGTATAAATTTAATTTTTTCATTATTTAAAGCATTTTCTATCCATTTACTTGCATTATCTTTTTGGTTATAATCTTGAAAATTGTTATATTCCATATTACTTAATTAATTAATAAAAATCCAATATATTAATATAATACTTATAAAAAATAATACTTGATCATAAAAATTAAATAACTTACTTGACTTGCTATTTAAATAAATTTTAAATATATAAATAAATTAAAAATAATTAGGTTCTAAAGCCTTCTTTGTTTCGAAACTGTTTTTAAGATATTACGAATGATTTTAAAGCTTTGATAAAGCTTTTGCACATTTATAAAATCGCTTTGGAAATATCTTTTCCTATTACAAATAGAAGTAAAAATTGGTTATACTTTAATAACAGGCCAGGCCATCATTGTAAAATTGAAGGAAAAAATAAATACTCCTTAAATTTGTAACCGTAGAACATACAGTAAATAAAACTATTTCATGTCGAACAAGGCAAAATGAGATGTCAATCATTTGATCGACAAATTTTATATACTTTTCGCCACTTTTATGTCTGTGCGACATTGAATTGCATTGTAAGTTTTAAAAGTTAAACGGTTCGATTGTATTAACAGATCTCTTCAAATATAAACAATACAATTTTAATATAAAAACTAGTTTTAAATACCGGACGCCTAGTATAAAATGTATGTAATTTTGATTCGGTGGTCCGATGTCTCTTACCAGACACCTAGAATAAAATTTATGTTATTTGAATACGGGTGCGTGTTCTCTCTCTCTTTACTTTGTAGAAATACTAAATTGATTTTTATTATTTCGTTATAGGACTTTATTTTAGGAAAAAGAATTTTGTAAAAGTCAGGTTTATGATTGGTCAAAGTGGTTATAGATTTATGTGGTAGGGTCAGTTGAATTGATCAATTATATATAGTAAATAGTATAAAGTTAAAAAATATATATTATCTTTTGTAAATAATATTGTTTAATGTAACAAAAAAAATGTTTTTTACATCAGAAAGATATATAGATTTTCGTAAATAATTTTTTTAAAAAATTTTATCGGTAAATTATATGATTACAGATAATATGGGAGGTTTGCTATTAAAATCAAGTTACAAACATAGTAAATCCACAATAGAGGTTGGAACCGGTTAAAACCGTTTAATTATCTTGTTAAAGTTAACTTAGGCCAGTACTATAAATTTTGCTGGAGCTAGACAATATATTTGCAATCATAAAAATCTTAATTCTGGCCGGAAATTGAATTCAGCCAGAGTTAAATTCATCTATTTAACCGGTTAACATGTTAATCTTCCTTATCACAATTTTATTTTTTTTTCGCTCACTTTTTATAAAATTATGAACTTACAAGCTTCCCAACTTACATCATGAATAAAACAAGCACCACAAATTTCAAGATGACAAAAAATACTGCAAAGAGACTTCGAGCTGTAAACGATTTAATAATAATTGTAATATATCGCAAGTTATTGAATTAATTGAATCATTTACTCGACGAGCCTTTTTTTGGTTATACTTACTATGTGGTCTAGTGGTGGTGAAGCATATCGAATTTGTAGTAATGTCCTTGAATTTCGTTGGGATGTAGGATTACGTAAAGAAAAAAGATGATCAGGTTGAAGAATAAACATGAAAATAAAAAACAGATTCATAACATATTCCTATACTTCCTGATTTACACATAAACAATTTTATCCAGTATAAAGATTGGAACCGGTTAAAGCAGCCATGTTAACTGGTTAATGATATTTTTTTAAGGGTTAAAATAGAAGAATTTAACTCCGGCTGAAATTCAATTTCCGGTCAGAATTAAGATTTTAATGATTGCAAAAACATTGACTAACTACAGTCAAATTTTAGTACTTACCTAAGTTAATTTTAATCGGTTAAAGAATTTTTCCAACCTCTAATCCAGTAAAGGAAATTCTCGTAAAATTGCTTAATTCTACTATAAAACAATTTTTTTATGAAAGGTCAAATGATGAATATTATAATCACATTGAATTATTATTATATTAGTATTAAGAAAGTTCATTAGTTTAAAATTATCCTATGGGTTATGCAATACTTAGAAAACTAATGTGAGGATATTACAAATCATTCTTGTTCATTCATCCAGGTTTTAGGACTTTCCGATTCATGAAAATTTAGCTGATCAGCGCATTTTAAATAAGTTAATTTTAGACTATCTTTGAATGAAATAATATTTTTCATTTAAGTTTCCTTATAGGGTAATGAGTAAATAAATCTAGTGAATTTGAAAATTTGTTTAGCCTGTAATTATATGAAAAGATCCTTTAAGGGAATTGAGAGTTTTAGTATATTCTAAAGATTGTCGAGCTGCAAAGGCCACATAATAACACTTTTAGGAATGTTACTTTCTAATTCTTTGTTAAATCTCAAAGCGGCTTACATTAAATAATATATCTTTTAAATATCAATTTAGTAAACCGACTCATTTTTTGATGAGTCTTACAAATTAGGATAAAAATTAAATTATATCAAAGGTAAGGATTCATTTATGAAAAAATTCTTCGCTAGTCCAATAGGCGCAATATGAAAATGTTGTAGCCAAATGCGTTAATGTCCGAAATGATATCCGAAAAGCGAATTCCTTTTTGGATATCCGACATGATCATTAGCGCATTTGGATACATAATAGATTTACATAACACAGGGATTGACTCCGAAATATTTTTAATTTAAGGGAGAGAAGAGAATGTTACCATAAATTGCTACAACAAAAACGTTCATAATTAAATTTTATTAAAGAAAAAAGAAATGTCAGATAATCTTATTTATATCGATTGGTTAGAAAAATTAATTTCTGATAATTATTACTTCCATTATGAATATTCGGACTTCAGCAACTTACAACTAATCGGAAGAGGTTCATATGGAAAAGTTGAGCGTGCGAATTGGAAAAATCCAGATGTTTGTTATGCTTTGAAATCTTTTAATAACGATACAATAACTTTGAAAGAAGTTGTAAATGAGGTAAATTATTATAAATATTTAAAGTTTTTTAACAGTATTGAATTATTTATAATAAGTTTCTTTATAGATAAAATTACATAAAAGCGTTGATTCTCATCCAAATATTATTCGATTAAATGGTATCACAAGGGAAAGAACTGGTAATTATTATGGACATAATTAGAATTTTCGACAAATATATTAAATTTTCTTTTTTTATGAATAGGAACCTCAATCCATCAAATAAACAAGTATTCTTTAGTTTTGGAATATGCTGATGGCGGAACATTAAATGCTTACTTAAAAAATCATTTTAATGAACTTGATTGGAACGACAAATATAAACTAGC